AATTCTATGTTAAATCAATAGTTCTTAAAGTTTTAGATAAAGTTATTAACATTTAAGTTTAACCAATTTTGGTAAAATATAGTATCATGGTATTTAGTTATTGTTTGTAAATACAGTACAATCAACTTGCGATAATCCACAGTCTTTGGGTGGTAAATTAATTGAAATGACTAATAACTCAAATGACAAATGGCCCTAATATGATTCTAATAACTAATCAAAATTTTGTAAAAATTTTTTGTTATAATGCAATCAACTTACGATGATCCAGTCTTTGGGTGGTAAATGACTTGAAATGACATGACAAATGACCTAATAAATGACAAATGACCTAATAAATGACAAATGACCTAATAAATGACAAATGACCTAATAAATGACAAATGATCCTAATAATTCAAATGACAAATGGCCCAAATGACTTAAGAAGGTCATTTAACTCCGTTAATTGATAATTCTAATACATTTTGGCCAATCAAAATCGATTATCAGTACAGATGTGTATTTTTGAAAAAAGTATTTCCAGCAAACATTTGTAATTTTGATGAAAAATTTCGGCAATAATGTCGGCAAATATGAAAATTAGTTCCGGTAAGTATGAAAGACTAATTTCGGCTGACTAAATGCCGTAATAATTTTTTATTATCTGTAATCAGTTATGATAGACAATTTACGTATAGTCATCAGGCCAAAATTTATTTTAAAATACGTATATACGACTTTTAATGTTAATAATGTGTCGCTAGATATAAAGTAGAGGTTAGAGATGGGCAAAGTCAGTTACATATTATTACTTAACAATACTTAATATTACCTGCAATAGGTATTATTAAGTAATTTTACAATAATTTTATTATTAGTAACACCTTTTCGTTCAATCTCAATTTTGATCACCTGTCTCCGACTTTTATCATGTGTTTTATATGTACTAATAATTATTTAATATTACTTGATATTAAGTAAGATAGGTCATTATTACTTACAAAATTACTTTGCCCATCTCTAGTAGAGGTGCAGGCGAATCGTCCCAATGATGCCGTAACTTTGCCGTAACTATATTAAATAATTATAAAAAACTACGGCATGTTTGCCGTAACTTTTTATAATTATTTAATATAGTTACGGCACGTTACGGCATCATTGGGGCACCTCTAATATAAAGCAAAATTATACTAAGCAAATCAATATTTGAGCATTAAGTAAAATTTTACAGTGTACATGAATTGTTATTGCGACCAACTCCACTTTATGCACAAGTATGGATTTACTTAGTATAATTTTGACTTTACGTTTCTTTAAATATGATCTAAATGAGCCATTATTTGATGATCAGATGACTAGGCCATTTACTACCTCTAGTATTCAGTGCCCTTATAATACGTAGTAAATAGGTGTATTTCGATTGGTATATTCCGTTTCTTAATTAAGAATAGTATGAATGATACTACGTATGACTCCATTACATTTCGTAATTTACACCAAAATGTGATCATTAAATCGTAAAATATATATTGCTAAATTATATATAGTATATATTCTAATATCTAGAATAACTTTATTTGATTGCTATATAACTTTTCTAATCAATTCTATTACACTGTATTATTTTTCATACTATCATATAACCAACTTTTGTAATATTGCAATAGTGCTTCTATTTTATAATTTTGCCAACTTCTTTTAAAATACAAAGTCAATTATCAATATGAACGTTGGGGCAACTTCTCGGAAAAATTTGTATTGCTAATACTCCGTTGAGGAATTCTTAAAAGAACCATGCTTTAATTTTTCCAATGTGTACATGTGGAGGCGGAAAATAAAGGTAAAGTATATGATGTCATTATGTAACACCCGTGCTTTTCGCAAAATACAAATTTTGATTGGTCTAAAATATTTTTAGCCAATCAAAATCTTTTTTTACGAGAGCATGTGTTATAAATATTCGATTACTTTGTTGTTTTTAAAAAAAAGATATTTTTACTAAAGTAAATATTTGTCACTCATATGAAATAACATCAATTTAGAAATTAATGTTTAACGGAGTTTCATTTATGGTTTCTTTTTTTAGTAAAAAAAGAATATTTCGATTGTTTATAGAAATTTACATTGTCATATTTCTGTAATTTACACTCACCCGTTACATTTACATTGTCATATTTCTGTGAATTCTGTGAATTCGCCATATGGTAATAAAAAAACATTATTAGTTCCGGAGTATTACTCCCTGTAGTGAGAATCCGCTTTATTTCAAAGACAAAGTGTACAATATCTTGAGTCTTCACATTATTTTCAATCTGAATGAAATATGATAAATTTATCTTTTTAATTTCAACAACTCGTGGTACCTTCCGTTAATGACGTATTTTTGGAATAAAGTACCATAAAGTGGATGATATATTTGTAGAAACAAAGCGTCACTAGTATACCGAAAAGATTTCTTAGATTTTTCGAAATTTTCAAAAAGTATATAAACGCGTGGAGCTGCAGGGTTAGCATTATAGTACATATGTACTCAATAAGATTATATAAGATTGCATAAGATTACATGCATATGCATATAAATGAACATTATGCCATATCAAGTTTTATCAAGTTTTATTCAATACGTACCTGGAGTTGATCCTAGCTCTGGTAAAAATAAATGGTGCAGCGCTTGTAACGAAGTGTCTTTCTACGTATAAAGCAATCCGTCCGTTCGTCCGTCCGTCCGTCCGATTGACTTTTGAAACGCACGAAATCGTCCGTAAAACATGAAGCGAAAGATTTTTAACGTTCTATAAAATTTTAAAAGTTCTATGAGTTAAAAAAAAAAGTGCGAGGATATAATAGCAAACAAAAAGCACAATTGTATAGAATAAAACTTGTAGAAATTTTTTTCTATGTTTTTTTTTTTTTTTTCTTTTAAGATAGAGGTTTGACTATGACTACTATATGTAAAATTTATTCTAATTTTAGCCGCAGAAACTAAATAGAATAAAAAAAATTTCAAATATTTATTTATTGTAATGTTTTTTGACCTTTACTTTGGTTACCCGTCAGGCCATTCGTCAGACCATTATCGATCATGATGGTCTGTATTGACCAACACCATTATCAAACACGTACCATAAAGCGTATGTACGTATGTATGTACGTACGTATCCAGGGTATAAATCAAAAATATCACAATAAACTTGATTTGTGACGGGACAATCCAGGATAAGTACTTTGAATGATCTTTAAGAAATTCATTTTACTGAACACGCAAATTTAGTAAAGTCAATTTTCAAATGACAGTATTGAACTACAGTATGATCGATCTTAATTGATACTGAATTGAACATCCTACAATTGTTATCCGGCAACTACTATGATCGTACCAACAGAATAACTCGAGTTATTTTGATGATGGCACAATCATTAACAAAATAACTCGAGTCATTCTGTTGGTTCGATCGTCGTAACTACCTGGATAATACCGTTATTGAATACTACGCAGCCAATAACTTGTTTATCTGGCAGCGAATTTAATGTTATTTTTAGGCTCCTTCGCTATCTGCATTTCCTATTGCGCTCCTTTTATTATTTGAAATTTCTGAGATCTCTATTCAGAATTTAAAATTGATTAGCCCCAGCCAATTTACTGAACTGGCTTCTTTTTCTGTCATTGAACTTCGCTTTCGAGAAACAAAGCTTCTTGTACTAGTGATGGAGGTAATTGACGAATCAAATCAGAATATACTTTATTAAATTTCATGGCTCTTTGAGTCATTGCTTTACAACTGATATAGTATTAAGAAACTAATATTGTATTTTACATCGCAGAAAAAATTGTGAATACTTCACAATCTAGAAAACTATAAAGAAGATAATTGATAAAGAAAATAATATAATACAAAAAATGGAATGACAATGGAACTATAGAGTCAAGAAAAAATATCATGGCAAGGATATGTTTTTATAATTTCGTGATTCAAGAATTTCTTATACTGATACACATGCTTTAATTTGCATAATAATTCGCAAGAATATTAATTGTATTCTTGACACCTTCAAATCCGTTGGAGAATTTTTTATTATTCATACACCAGCTTGGATAATTAGAAGATGAATTTAGGCATGAAAGATTGTCGCTTACGGCAACCGATAGTCCAACCAGGTGATTTCTAACAAGCCATATCTTCACCAAGTTTGCACAGTTCATGCTTAATCCTGTAGCTGGAACAGATTTATCATTTGGGAAGCATTTCAACAAGGTTTTGTATACATTACTTCCTGAATTAAACCTTGCTAGATTCATCGTTTCCTTAATCACGATCCAATATGTCTTGCCTTTATATATATTCTCGGCAGCCATGGCAACCTCTACTGCAGTGGTATGACTCCATGCCAAATATTCCATTTTGCCAACAGCTTCCAGGACCTATCATGGCGTTACTTTTTGTTACACCATTTACCGTTTCAGAACATAAATTGTAATTAAATAAATATCCGTCAACTTTCGGAACAAGTTTCGCATCAAATTTACTGTACGGTTCATTCAAAATCCCTTCGCTCAAAGACCACCAAGTTCCAACTGCTACCGCATAAGCCGATGGACTAATTTTTGCGTTGCTGACAACATTCTTCCAGAGGTGGTTATCCCATGGAAGACCTTTGGTTGTCTTGGTGTTCGGAACTGTCCACTTCTTGCACCAATCTATCCATTTACGCTCCTGGGTATTGAGGTCATTGATGCTATTAATAGAAAGCACCAAGTTAAACAAGCTAAGATAGGTGATGATGAAAGGAAAAGAGATGTATTTCATTTTAATTTTCTTTATTTTTTGTTAGGTCAGAATTCAAGTTATATTTATAGAAATATCAACGGTAAAATTTTTTTTAAAAGAAGCAATCAGGTTGTGAAGATTAGCCAATCCAATTGCATAATTCGTTACGAACATTATTTAAGAATATCTTTATAAATAACCAGTTATTTCATAGGAACGTCTTTGTGTGTTGATTTTTTCGAGTTCGATATTCACAAATGAAAATGTCGTACGATTAGCCAATGACATACGATTAAGTAAAAATGTCATTCGGGTTAAAAAATATCATAGATTTGAAATTGTATGAATTTCGTTGACTGAAAGCATCAAGTCTCGCGCATTTAGGTCTCGAAGAATAATGCACTCTAATCGAAGATCGTAGATTAGAGGTTAAAATGCGTCGATCTTGTTATATCATGACAAATACTTTACCCGATAAGATCAACATTTAATCGAATTAATTAAACAAAAAATCTTTGATTATTCGAGTTTTGGAGGTCGATCTAATGAACGTTGTTACGCTAATTTTTGTCATAGCTTTAATTAAAATCAATATCAAATATTAATATCAGCTATGCAATGCGCTAAAAAAGGTTGATTCGCAAAATTCTTTTAGTAAAATCCTTTGGTTGTTAACAGTGTTGGCTTATGACCTTAAATGACCTATATGACCTTTATGACCTGTCATAGGTCATTTGGTCATAACGAAGGT